TCAAATAAATAAATAAAATCTTAAAAAATATATATATATATTTAAACAAGCCTACAAAGATTAACTTGACTTCTAAAATGTTTTGTTCCCATTAATCTTATATTAGCTATTACCCCTTAATACATCCTGTTTTCATTTTTTGTTCTGATTACAGACGTGGAAATGGATAGTGGGTCCCATGTTTCTGTATCTCTGTGAGAGGTTGGTACGGTTTTGGCGATCTCAACAGAAGGTGGTCATCACCAAGGTATTGTCTGGTTTAGGAATTACTAGTAACATCTAACTATATCATGGACAAGTTTACCCAAGTTCTCTATAGCATTGGTCAGAGCTGTCTTTCACTCGGTTTCTTTTGATTAAATGTAGAGCAGAGAGAAGATCTACAGTTGAATTCAGTCAGTATACTTAGCTTGATAATCAAATGGTTGGACCTTTTAACTGGGGCAAGTACAAGTTAACATTTTCTGTTGAAAAATGAAGCTGACGGTTTTGTGTACATGAATCTCTCTCTCTCTCTCTCTCTCAGTGTGTGTGTGTGTGTGTGTGTGTGTGTGTGTGTGTGTGGAGAGAGAGAGAGAGAGAGGAGGAGCATACTGTGATGAGTGTGAGCAGGTTAGAGTGAAGAAGCAAAGCACATGAGTTCAAAAGGGTACACACTGAGCCTTAAAATACTCAGATGCCAAAAGAACCAGGGAGCCAAGGGCAGGTCTGATTGAGGTTGAGGTAGTTTTCCAGGTCTCCCTTTACCTGCTTTTCTGTGCTGTGTATGTAATCACAGAATATCAGAGTTGGAGGACCCAAACTCTCAAGGAGGTTAGTAACTAAACTGCATCTAGAATCGAGTCTGTTGACTCCAGGTATATGGTGGCTCCCCCCACTCCACACTTCTGTGCTGCTTCTCATTACTAACTAAATAAATATCCAACTCAATAAATAGAAATAGAAACTCCTGGTTATAGTTTCAGGAAACAAGAGACAAAACTAGTTTTATCAAATAAAATTGAATTCAACTCAATACAGTTCAAAAAGTGTTTACTAAAACCCTGGTATGGGCTATTCTTGCAAAACGCATGAATTCTTCCTGCCCTCCACCCTAGCTTTTCTTTCTTGGCATCTGTGGAAGGCCAGAGGAAAGTCAGTCCAGCTGGCACTGGAAATCTTGAAATATAGGAAGCTACAGCAGTTCTCCTTTTATGATACTTATACTGTATTAGAAGAAAAAGCCCACAGAAGAGCAAAAAAGGCTGCCACAGAATTTCCCTTACTAGGCTAGACCTGACTAAGCAGGCAAGCATTTCCCTTGAACGTATTTTAAAGGCAAATCTGTTTTCCTGTGGAGAAAATAGATACTCATTTTCTTCTCATAAAAACAGATATTCATTTTCTTCTCAAAAAAAAAGAAACAAGGTGTCATCCAAAAGTATGCTGATGTCAATTCTGCTAGTGCATTTTATTTAGTTTAATCCTGATTTCACCTGTGGCAGCAAAATTGCAAAAGGGGGAAAAGAATGTTTTCACCATACAAAATTGCCACATTACAAAATTGCCAGTGAACATCACTTTCAAAATAATTTTTGTTGATTTTTATTTTTTTTGTTTTCCAAAATGAAGCTTTAAGATTCTTTATTTCCGTGATGGAAGGACGTTGGGTACTGCTTTATCATTTAAGATGGAGTGAAATCACAGGTTTGGGAAATGCTTGGCAATATTTATCGAAAGGGTTGCCCATCTTACCCCTCCTCACTCACGGAAAGAAAAGCTTGACACTATCAGTCAACATTTAGGGAGCTGCTATTTTGTTTCTGTTGATTTTTCATTGCCCTGATGTCCCTTGGTTTGTTTTTCAGTTGTACATAGAAAGTCCTGGGTATCTCAGGAATTGTCCCAGAAACAGTGTATTGCTGTCTGTATTGTAATGACAGTTTTTCATTGTGCTGCTTTGTTTCTTAAAATTATTTACCACCTCACCAGCTGATGGATGTTTGGACTGTTTCCAATTGTTTGCTGTTCTAAACAAAGCTGTGACGAACACTTGTACACACGGAGAATGAGGAAGGCAATGGGCGGGGCGGGGGGACTGGCTTTGGGAGAGACCGATGGTGTACTTCCCAGGTAGGTAGAAATGTAAACACAATGCATGCAATCAGGCAGATTCAAGGTGTGACTCAGGACAAAGATAGACCAGTACATGCGGCTTGGTTTGGGGGATGTTGCTATATAGCCAGTCAATAGGGTGTCCTTCTTCTATCCAGCTGCCAAGGCTCTCGATGATCCTCTGGGGAGACAGGAAGGCTGAGCAAGCAGCCATCTCTTCTTTCTGTTGCTAGCACGTGCCTTGACTTCTTGGAGAAAAAAATATCACAGTAGGCTGGTGTCTTAGGCTGAACTCCCTGGCAAAGACTCTGAGACAGAGAATTGCAGACAGAAGGTTGACTGGGGCATGTTCTCAGAAGATGAACCTGTGAAAAGAAAGATGGTCAGAATCAGGGAGGAAATGAATGACCCTCACTCAGTTGCTGCTGCAGCCTCAGCTGATCCTACAGGGAGTGCGGGGGTTGGGATGACGTCTGGGAGTTGGCAGGCCGTGGGCTCCAGCTGAGGGCAAGTCGCCACGAGAGACGCATCTGCTCGAGGAAATGCCTCGTTGGGCCTGAAGAGGGGATGTGGGTGGGGCATCTTAGCTCAGCCTTTTGTCCATGTGGACACTGAAAAGGCAAGTATTTGGGGAAAGTGTAGTTTCCAGAGACACGTTTTGTTCCGTAGGTGGTCACTCACCCTTTCAAAACCATTGAGCTACAGATGAAGAAGAAGGGATTCAAGATGGAGGTGGGACAATACATTTTTGTCAAGTGCCCCAAGGTGTCCAGGCTGGAGTGGCACCCTTTCACACTGACCTCCGCCCCTGAGGAAGACTTCTTTAGCATCCATATTCGTATCGTTGGGGACTGGACGGAAGGACTTTTCAATGCTTGTGGCTGTGATAAGCAGGAGTTTCAGGATGCTTGGAAACTACCTAAGTAAGTGCAAAGCGCATATTTACAGAAGTGTACGAGTTCAGGAAAAATGTCACCAAATAGCTCCCCTTTTCCCATCTCTCACTGCACTGTCTCCTGGGTCTGAGCAAACACACAAGTTCTACAAATATAGGTAGCTATCTCGGTGTTCCCCATTTTATGTATGTGGTACGTTTAGGCATATACTAATAAATCTTGTGTGAAGTATAAAGTATTTGAATCAAATATTAATAATGAATATTCCCAAATTCCTTTAAATACGTAAGGGTCAAGGCCAAGGTGTATTAACTTTTCTTTTTTTTTTTTTAAAGATTTTTTTTTTTATTTGAGAGAGAGAGAGCACATGAGAGGGGGGAGGGTCAGAGGGAGAAGCAGACTCCCCGCCGAGCAGGGAGCCCGACGTGGGACTCGATCCCGGGACTCCAGGATCATGACCTGAGCCGAAGGCAGTCGCTTAACCAACTGAGCCACCCAGGCGCCCGGTGTATTAACTTTTCTAACAAACAAAGTTATAGTGTATCAAAGATATTCTTAAAATTTAATTGACATATGTCATTTGAGGGTAAAGGCCAAAAATTATTCGCTTTGCCCCCTTCTTCCCACATGTTTGAGATGGTGCCAGGCACTTAGTAGATGCTAAAGTAAAGCTTATTGATTGACTCAATGAATAGACAAATGAAAAGTGAAGATATTAAATTTACAAGATGCTATGACAGAAAATTCTCACTTTACTTCAGTGTGCAATGTGAGCAGGAATTTCAACTGTGGGATGCCCTGGCAAGAGGTACAGGTGTATGTGTATGTGTGTGTGAGTGTGTGTGTGTGTGAGTGTGTGTGGTAGGTGAAAGGGTGGAGAGATGAAAAAAGTACCCCTGAGAGTTACCAAATGTTTTCAGTTAGCTAAAACTTCCTCTTCTTACTTCCAACCACTATGTCAACACCGAGTGGGTTACTTGAAAGCTATTTCATAGAAGAAAGTGCCCCAGAGATACATTGTCCCAGTTTGATGTGACATATTGCACGCCCCCAGTAATACGCTGTGCCCCATCCTACTCTGCAGTGCAAGGTAGCTCTCTAACCACCTCCTCACACGCTTCCCTCCAGGATAGCTGTGGATGGGCCCTTTGGCACAGCCAGTGAAGATGTGTTCAGTTACGAGGTGGTGATGTTAGTGGGAGCAGGGATCGGGGTCACACCCTTTGCATCCATTCTCAAGTCCGTCTGGTATAAATATTGCAACAATGCCACCAATCTGAGGCTCCAAAAGGTAAGTCCCTTCGTTTTTTCAGGGGGCTTGCTTGGGGCTGTCACCACACTCTGCTGAGTGAAGCGTGAGAGAGCCTTCGGGGCAGAGACTGGGGGGGACCAAAGGAAGTGGAGACAAGTTCCTGGTGGTTTCAGAGAGACAGACTTCTCATAAAAGGGCTATTTGATAAGTCACATGTGCTTGCATATAAGCAGGTCTATTACTGCAAGTAATATACTGCACTTGTATAGCGTTAGAAGAAATTGGGAAGAAAGGAAGTGGGGACAGAAAGTGTTGACAACCCCGACTCAGCAGCTGCCCTTTTTGTGGATTCTCTTCCAATATTTTCTCATACTCTTTGAAAGTTGTAAATATTGAGTACATATACTTTCATGGCCTGCTTTAAAAAAAAACATAGTGTTTTTTCAGTGTTGTCACAGGCTTTATGATGATCCTTTTTAATGATTCCTTTATGTTCCATGGAGAGGATACAGAATAATTTTTCTATCATCCTTTATTAGATATTGAGATTGATTCCTTTTCCAGTCCCCCAGTACTTTTTTTTTTTTTTGCAAGGAGAGGGCAGGAGACACGTCCTTTCATGAAACTTTTACTTACTTTCTTTTTTAAAAAAAAAAAATTATTTTATTATGTCATGTTAATCACCATACATTACATCATTAGTTTTTGATGTGGTGTTCCATGATTCATTGTTTGCGTATAACACCCAGTGCTCCATTCAATACATGCCCTACTCAATACCCATCACCGAGCTAACCCATCCCCCCACTCCCCTCCCCTCTAGAACCCTCAGTTTGTTTCTCAGAGTCCATAGTCTCTCATGGTTCGTC